AACACCTCATTTTCCACTTGGGGATCCTGCAGCCCTCCGGACTCAATATCGAGTTCAATAATTTTAGGGCATGAACTCTCCCATGTCCTAGCCCCCTGCCCGCAGACCAAACCTTGTTATCACATAGTCTATTGTTAGCCACTAACAGTCTCCATTAACAGCTATTCATGCTCCTAGCCAGATTGTTATCCACTCCTTTGTCTGTCCAACTGTTCTTCTCTCTCTTTGGGGTCTATGCGCAACAAATGTTTACTCCTTGCTGCCTGCCCCCACCCTATCTTCTACATATAAACTGACTTTTTCCTAGCTACCATCATTTGAGGAACAGTCACTGGATCTGAAATGTTAACTCTGATTTTTCTTCACAGATGCTGCCAGACCTGCTGAGCTTTTCCAGCAACTTCTGTTTTTGTTCTCCATAAACCTTCAAATCATTAAAGATCTGTCCATGCCTTCCTTAAATTTATTCAGTGTACCAGCATCCACAGCACTCTGCTATAGTGAAATTCATAGATTCAGTACCTTTAGAGAGGTGTAAATCCTCCTTATCTCTGACTTAAATCTGCTATGCCTTATCCTAAAGTTATAACCTTTAGGATTTCCCCTCAAGTAGCTGTTCCAGTCTACTTTGGCCAGATCCTGCCCTATTTTAACAATATCTGCCTACACGCTCCAATCCAAAACCCCTCTTTGCAGAGCATTTTCCTTTTTCATAACAAACTTAAAAAGTATGGCATTGTGGTCACTATCACTAAAATGGTCTCCCATTGCCCTTGAACAACTGTCCAGCCTCACTCCCCAGATTAGGTTCAGCACTGCACTAATCCTTGTAGGTCCATCTACATGCGTTCAAAACAGAACTGCAGAGTGTACGGGCCCAATTTATTCAGGGTGAAATGGAGAAGCAACAAGACCAGAGAAGCCTGGATGTCTAGGAACATTCAGAACTCGATAAAAAGGAAAAGAAATGTGTATAATGGATACAAAAGGAGCAAATCAATGGAGGTCATAGTGGAGGATAGAATGTGCATGGGGGAGCTTAAGAAAGCAATGAGGAGAGTAAAGAGGGGCATGAAAAAGCACCAGCAGACAAGATTAGGGAGATTTGCAAGATATTCTACAAGTATATCAAGGAGAAAGGAAATAACCAGGGAAAGAGTTGGGCCCATATTAGGCACCAAATCTGGGTATAGAGCCAGAGGACACTGGTGAAATGTCAAACAAGTATTTCACATCCTGTCTTCACTCAGGAGGAGGATGATTAAAGTAAAGGAATCAGGAAGCTGGACTGTGAGGTTCTTCAGCATACTGATATGAGGGGTGAGGAGGTACTGAGGTTTTGGCTTAATTGTGGACAAATACGCAGGTCCACATCAGCTGTATCCCAGACTGCTGTGGGAGATTTGGGAGATATTACCAAGGACCTGATTCAAATTTTTAATTCCTGTCTAGTCACAAAGGAGATGGCAGAGGACTGGAGGATAGCTAACATGACTGCACTTATCAAGAAGGGTGGTAGAGATAAAATTACAAAGCAGCAAGTCTTGTATCAGTGCTAGGGAAACTACTGAAGAAAATTCTGAGAGAGTTAATCTCCATTCAGTGAGGCAAAGTTTGATCAGGATTAGTCAGGATGGCTTTTGTTGAGGCCATGCCTAACAAATTTGGTTGAATTTTTTGAGGCAGTGATGACACATGTAAATGAGGGTAGTTCAGTTGTGGTCGTTTATATGGATTTCAGCGAGGCCTCTGACGAGGTCACACATGGGAGACTGATAAAGAAGTCAAAATCGCTTGGGATCCAGGGTAACCTGGCAAGTTGGATCCAAAATTGGTTTAATGGCTGGAGCCAGAGGATGTTGGTAAAAGGCTGTTTGTGTGACTGGAGGGCAGTGTCCAGTAGCACACCACAGGGATCAATGCTGGTCCCTTATTGTTTGTGATAAATATAAACAATGTAGTTGAGAATGTAGGGGGGCACAATGGTGATGCAAAGATTGGCCAGGTGGTTGACAGTGAGGAAGAAGGTCTTAGGCTACAGGAGATATAAACAGATTGGTCAGCTGGGCAGATTAGTGAAAGATTAGTAACCCGGATAAATATGAGGTGATTCACTTTGGAAGAAGTAACAAGACAAGGGAGAACTCAATCAATGATAGGACACTAGGAAGCTTAGAAGAACAGAGGGATCTTGGGGTACTTGTCCACAAATCCCTGAAAGTGGCAGGGCAGGCTAATAGGGTAGTTAAAACGACATACAGGACATTTGCCTTCATCATAGATTATTACAGCAGGAAGCTTATGTTGCAGCTGTATAGAACTTTGATTAAGCCACAGATGGAGTACTGTATGTAGTTCTGGTCACCATACTGTAGGAAGGATGTGTTTGCCCTGGAGGGGGTGCAGAGGAGCAATATCACGATGTTGCCTTAGAAACAGCAGTTTAGCTATGAAGATAGGCTGGATAAGCCTAGATTGTTTTCTTTGGAGCAGAGAAGGTCGAGAAGTGAGATGAAGAGATGTATAGGATTATGACAGGCATGGACTGGGTGGTTAAGAAGCAGATGAAGGGTAAATAACAAAGGGGCACACTTTTAAGTTGAAAGGCAGGAGGTAATAGGGTATTTGAGGATGTTTTTCCACCCAAAGGGTGGTGGGGTCAAGAATGCACTGCCCAAGAAAAACCTCAAAACCTTGGTCGAGCACTTGAAATGTCATAACATTCAATGGCTTTGGGCCAAGTGCTGGAAAGTGGGGCTATTATAGATTTAGACTAGTTTTTTGTAACACACAATTCCATCTTCTGAAGTTTAGAAGAACAAGAAGCCATCTCGTTCAAGCATTAAAAAAAAAACTTACAGTGATCAACACGATGGATGCAGGACGGATATCTGCCTTACTGGGAAACAGGAGGCACAGTCTCAGTATAAGGGGTAGGCCATTTTAGGATTGAGATAAGGAGAAATTTCTTCACTCAGAGGGTGGTGAATCTTTGGAATTCCCTGTTCCAGAAGATTGTGATTATGTTCAACATTGAGATTGATAGATTTCTATATTAAAAATATTAAGGGATAATGTTGCAAAGTGGTGTTCAAGCAGAGAATCAGTCAAGATCTCACTGAATGGCACAGCAGGCTCTATGGGCTAAGTACACTACTCCTATTTGTTATGTTATTATGAAAAAGTTTGATTTGAATTTGAGACACAGGTACAAAATGATCATTGCTGTGGATTGAAAGTCATAATCGCAGATTGTTAGTAAAAGAATATGGTGTAATGTAGGCAGCCGTACCAAAATTTACAAAGAACATTGGGATTCTGTTTTGAAAAGGGGCAGAAAGGGAGATTGAAAAGTGACATGAAATACTTTGGGCCAGAAGCCTTTTCTGTAATACATCATATCTCTTCAGAGGTACTTGTAGTAAACAGGCATGGAGCAGTTTTCTCAAATAAAAGACGGATAGAGACATTACTGAGAAAATCCGAACATCAAGGCCCAGTAAAGCACTTGTTGAACTTTGGTAACTGTTGTACAATGAAGAAACCTGGCAACTAATTTGGCAAAGCAAGATTCCACAAACAGTAAAATATAATTCCCTAAAATAAAACTAAGTACCGTGGATGAAGAACTGAAACAAAAACAGAAACTGCTGGAGAAACTCAGCTGGTCTGGCAGCGTCAGTGGGAAGGAAGCAGGGTTAACATTTCAAGTCTAGTGAGACTTCATCAGAAGATAATGCCCTATCTGGTTTTGATGATGTTGGTTGAACTTTCGCTATTAGTACGTGCAAGGTTCAATGAGCAAAATTTAATATCACTCATCCCAAGATCTATGGAAAGATAAAAATGTAAGCATTCCTTTAGTCAGCAGTTAAAGAGGGTTTAACAATGTTCCATGTATGTATTTGTCAGGATACGGACAAAGCAATGCTTTCAGCAACAACAAATATTCCAACACTGAGAACAGATTCAACGATGTCAACCTTGGGGCAAACAGGCACATTTTTTAATACTTATTGAAAATTTCACCCTGCATACAAATGGCACCAATAGCGACAGCTGCAGCAAAGAGTTTCTGAGGTATATCTAGTTCGGTGGAGATATTGCTGGAAGAATCTGGGTAACAGAATAGTGGGCAAAATAAAGCCTATTTGATTGATGCATATCTATTTAATCTCTTATCAGCTGCAGCTACTGCATGCTGCATGTCTGACTTTATCTGCAGAATCAAACTTGAGTCCCTGCCTAAAATGTGAGGGGATGGGTTTCAGAAGGTTATGCGAAATCCAACACAGATTGATCCTGCATTCCTATCAACATGGATTAAAAACGGCACCTGACACCTTTCTGCTCTCAGGTACTGAATGCTTACATGTAATGGATAAAGCTCACAAGAATGTCTTCATCCTCTCACTTATTTTTGTACAATCCAGAGAATTGCAACATTGGCGTTCTCTCTTCCTTTCTTTGTACAAAAAAGGAGTTGCAATGAACATGCAATTCAATAAAAACAAACTTCCATTCACAGAAAGATCAGGTTGTATTTAAAACTAATTGCTCAGAGGATTCAGCCTTTTCTAATTAATAAAGTTGAAAGCCAAGTAGACTTTTAAAATGAACAAACTTATGGCACAGAAAGCACACGGCTTAGTCTGGCCTAACACCCACATTTTGACACTTGTTAAATTGCAGATTTCACAACACATCCCATGGATGTTCCTGTGTGCTGCACTTTACTTGAACCAACCCGTAAATGGTTACAAAGCAGTTTGACCTTACTAATATTCCAAATTTCAGAAGGGAGTGGGATACATGTATAAAATGAGTCTCATGCATTCATAATTATCTATGAGCATTGGCAGTTTGGGTTACACAGGCTCCCTGTCCAACCTTGTTTGCTCAGTGACTTGTGCACTGGAAAAGTGCATGAAAAAAATAGAACTGCTTAGATGACTAAAGGAATGGAAGAGCAGTTAGAATCACAATTCAACACCACTCACATTTCTGTTTGAGGTTATAAGTTTAAAGGCTTCTTTTACTTGATGAGTTGTTGCTCCACCACCTACATCGAGAAAGTTGGCAGGGCTACCTCCATGAAGCTTTATGATATCCATTGTAGCCATAGCTAGCCCTGCACCATTGACTGAAAAATAAAACACCCACCAGTAATACAACTAAGACTTTTAATAAATCAAAATAAGCTTGTAAAGTAGCAAGAAACAAAATTAGATTGTAAAAGCTTCTACATATTTTTTAAAAATTAATTCATGAGAAGTGGGCTTTATTGGTTGGGCCAGTGCTTGTAACCCATTCTTGGTTGCTCTTGACAAGGTGGGAGCAAGCTGCTCTTGAACTGCTGCAATTTTTCTGATGTAGGTCCACCCACTACTAACACTACCAACACTATTACTGGAGGAAAGGAGATCTATTTCCAGGTCAGAATGGTGAATATCTTGGAGAGCAAATTGCAAGTGGTGGTGTTCCCATATTTTACCGTCCTTGTCCTTCCAGATGGTAATGGTTGTGGATTTGAAAGATGCTATCTGAGGAGCATGGAATTGTTACAATGCAACTTGTACATGGTACACTGCTGCCACCATGTGATTAGAAATGGATAAGTATTGCTAACCCAGCCGGAAAAGCCCACACCCAATGAACGTATAAAAAAAATTAACAAAGACAAATATGGTTCTATTATGGGCAGAGACAGGATACTTTATAATAAGAAACAAAGAAATGGCAGACAAGCTAAATAAGTAATGTGTCTCTGTCTTCAGAGGAAACCACAAGAAGCCGCTGTATAGTAATTCAGATCAAGGGGTCTGGAAGATCGTGGAACTTAAAGAAATTAGTAAAAAAGAAAGTCATATTGGAGAAGTTATCAGGACTGAAAGTGACGTCAGCCTTCCTGCTCCTATGATGCTGCTTGGCCTGCTGTGTTTGTCCAGCTTTACACCTTGTTATCTCAGATTTTCCAGCATCTGCAGTTCCTACTATCTCTATCCCAGGGACTAGATGATTTTCACACTAGAGCATTGAAAGAGATGGCTATAGAGACAGTAGGCGGATTAGTGATTATCTTTCAAAATTCTATTAATTCTGCATCAGTGCCTATATTGTTTAAGAACAGGAAAGGAGAAAAAGAGGAACAACAGACTTGTTAGACTGATGTTGATAACAGAGAAAATCTAGAAGCTATTATAAAGGACGTGATTCCAGGATATTTAGAAAGTGTTTTCTGTGTTAGACAAAGTCAATATGGATTTGTGAAAGATAAATAATGTTTAACAAACCCACAAGAGTTATTTTGATGTTACTGGAGAGTTGTTAAAGAGGAAACTAGCAGACATCATATATTTGGATTTTTGCGAGGTTTTTGATAAACTCGCATACAGAGGTTAGTGAACAAAATGAAAGTGTGTGGGATTGGGGGTAACATACTAACATGATTTTAGGATTGATTAACAAGGCTAACTCAGAGTAGGAATAAATGGGTCATTCTTGTGCTGGCATGCTGTGCTGCAAGTTCAGTGCTTGGAACCCAGTTGTTCACAATCTAGATCAATAATTTGAGAATGGGTGCCAACCGTAACATTTAAGTTTGGCAGATGATACAAAACTTGGTGGAAATGTAAACTGTGAGGAGGATAGGGCTTCAAGGGATTTTAGACAGGCTGAATAAGTGGGCAAGAGCATGGCAGATGAAATATAATGTGAATAAGTGTAGGTTATTGTGGAAGGAGTGAAGGTGCAGAGTAGTTCTAAAATGATGAGACCACCCATGGGGTATTGTGTGCAGTTCTAGTCATGTTGCCTAAAATAAAATATACTTGCTATAGAGGGTGTGCAATGAAGGTTAACTAGACAGATTCCTGGGATTGTGGAACAGGTCCTATGAGGAGACTGGGCCTGTATTATCCAGTTTAAAAGAATGAAAGGAGATGTCATAGAAAGTTACAATTTTTTTTAAAGGATGGGCAAAGTAAATGCAGAAAGGAGCTTTCCCCTGTCTAAACCAAGGTGCACAGTTTCAGCATAAAAGGCAAACCATTCAGGACTGAGATGAGGAGGAACCACCTCAGTCACAATTTTATACCTCAGCTGTGGAAGCTCAGTCATTAAATAAGTTTGAAACAGTGATTGAAAGATTTCTAGTTACTAGTGACATCAAGAGATGTGGGGATAATGCCGGAATATGGCATTGAGGTCAATGATCAGCCATGATCTAGAATTGTGGGTTAGGGTCTCAAGGAGCTAAATGATCTACTTCAGCTCTTCAAGCTTCTAGTGGTATTAATGTTTAGCAGCTGGGTTATTTTTAACTGTGATTTTTTGTTTTCCATCAAGGATACAATAAACCCTGCAGCACCTAATAGGCCATCTGGAAGACTGGCATGAGCTGCATCAGAAAAGAGCACAAACTTCATATCTTCTGGGTCACCCAAGGCTAGAAACTGGAGTGTGAATTCTTTCTGTATTTAGTTTCATTAATGTTTTATTTGCCATTAAGACAGCCTCAAAACTAGCATGTTTCATCATAGTACTCCGTTCCAATGAGTCATAACTAGCATCAGGTCTAGTCCGAGTACACAACCAGTTAAGATTTCTGATTGGACAATTAAACAGATGCGTTTCTTTCCTGGAAGCAAATATCATCTTTATTTGAGGACCTGGCCTAACATATTGGGATGCAGTTAACACTTCAATTAACTTAAATTCCAGGAGAATGTTGCTGAAATAGCTAAGAAGATCCTCAAGATCACTTAACCTGCATAAAGGAATCCACTCTAACATCCTGATCAACACGTTTATCTTTTAAACGCCACACCTTTAGTTTGCTTTTAATCCTATATCCCATCAGGCAGCACCTTTTCTGTGTGTATCTATCTGTTTGAAAGGCTAGTTGTCCCCCAGTATCTGTGTACACACCAAATTCTATACAGCTATTCAACTGCTTTTGTTTGGCACTTTCACCAATTTATCTGCTGATTTGTTTGTAACCACAGAAAACTTCTCAATTATAAGAGGTTCTGTTTCTCATCATACTCCCAAGCCATGCCATAGTCCTTGTTCTCAACAAACTACAATCTCTACTCACGCTCCTATTTCATTCTGGACCATCACAACAAGACCTGCCTCTGCTGTGACTAGAATTCCATTTGCAAGTTTACAATCTTTTCCCATATTCGCATCCAGGTCCACCTTCAGGAGTTGCATTGCTTTTCTGGCCTTCCACATCTTTACCTCATTTTGCCAATCCACAGATCTTTCCTCATCATGTTGCACATTTAGCTCTTATTTGTGTTTCCCAATAATAATGCATTTCTCTATTCATTAGCTAACATATATGTTAGTTTTGGTGTTGACCTCTGTGGCAAAAAGCTTGTCCTGTATTTCTGTATCATCTTGTCCGTTCAGTCAGCCCTTCACCTGCCAAAATCTGATCCTTTTAGTTGTCATTCCTTACACCTGCCCATAGATTTTCCATGGGGTTTAATGCGGTAATTTGCTGTTAGTGGGGCATTCAAAAAGCACCTTCAAATGTGTATCTTCTTAAACAGGTTGAAGATTTGTTAATTAGGCATATAGTCTGAACCACGAAATGTAAGATAGGAAAGTGAACTATATGTCAATTTAGATATAGAGCAAATTAGAAACATATATAGAATCAGGAGTAGGTCATTCAGCCCTTCGAGACTGCTCTGTCATTCAATATGACCATGGCTGATCATCTAACTCAGTACATGTTTCTGCCTTCACCCCATATCCTTTGATCCCTTTAGCCCTAAGAAACACATCCATCTCCTTCTTGAAAACATTCAATGTTTTAGCCTTAATCACTTCTTGTGGCAGAGAATTCCACGGGCTCACCAGTGTCTGGATGAAGAAATTGCTCATCTCAGTCCTAAAAGGCTTTTATCCTTAGGCTGTGGCCCCTGACTCTGGACTCCCCAGCCAATAAGAATATCGTTCCCGCATTTACCCCCTCTAATCCTGCTAGAATAAGTTTCTATGAGATCCCACCTCATTCTTCTAAACAAGTGAATTTAGTCCTAACCAATCCAGTCCCGCCATCCCAGGAATTAATCTAGTAAAGTTCCCTTGCACTCCCTCAATAGCCATTAAACCCTTCCTCAGACAAGGAGATCAAAACTGAACACAATACTTCAGATGTGATCTCACCAAGGTTTGTCTAGTTGCAGCAAGACATCCTTGCTCCTATACTCAAATCCTCTCACTATGAAAGCTGACATACCATCTATCTTCTTTAATACCTGCATGACTAATACATTCATTTTGTGCAAATGCATTAAGGTACACGGCCTTAAGGCGTGCCTTTTCAGCATTCTTACTCCTATTCACTGTGGCCTTGCTCAATTCTAGTCCTTGAATTCCGTGTTTATCACCTTTCTTATTTCCCCATTATGTCTTTTGTTTTATTCCTTGTTTCCATCAAATGTGTCTTCCAGTATAGGTTCCCATCCCCCTGCCATCTTAGCTTAAACCCTTGCAACCTCATTCACAGATACATCCCTTAGGACATCAATTCCGGTCCTACCCAGTGCAATTGTCCAGTGTGTACTCCCCTAAAACTGGTCCTAATACCCCAGGAATCTGAAACCCTCCCTCTTGCACCATCTCTCCAAGCCATGTGTTCATCCAATATATCCTATTTATTCTACTTTAACTACCTCGTGCCACTTATTAGTGCCCTTGACTGTAGGGGACCCATATTCGTCTTTATTAATGTTTTTCTTTTCCCATACCTGGAAGCTTTTACTATCATTTTGTACGTTTCCTGCAAGGCTACTCTCATACTCTATTCTCCTCCTCTTAATCAGTCTCTTTGTCTAATATTGCTCCTAATCCTCAGGACTGCGCCAATTTGTATGCTCTTCCTTGAAATTAATATTATCCCTAATTTCCCTTATTAGCTATGTTTCCCATTTTATTTTTGTGCCAGAATGATATTAATAATTTTCACAGTACCTCCATCTTTGTCATTGCCTATCTACCATCGCCATTTTAAGAGAAAGAGTGTTTGGGCTAAGAGACTGCAAAAAGGAACAAAGATCACAATTGAACTTTGAAGATATAATTTTCAGAAGCATAGAGGTGATTTGAAGTAATTACCACTGATCAACTATATTAGAAGTACATCTTGACTGGAATGGCTAAGCCCTAATCATACCGTTGGCGCAATTACAGGCATCACACCTTTTAATGTTTTTAAATGGCACTAAGCCAGGCAGTGAATGCTATTCTTGCGAAGCTGATGGGGCAGTAGTACACCTTAGACTGCAACTTCCAGATTTAACTGCACATGTCTACTTGATTTGTGCTTTAAAAACAGTGAGAACTTTATCATTATTTTCTGGGCTATTAAATCAACTTGTCTTTTCACTTGGGAACTAATTGATAATCAGTGATAGAGCTCTTCTTTCTCTCATAGCCTTCCAGCAACAGCAGCAGTTAGCAAAAAATATAATGCACAATTTGTGACTGCATTTATTTGGATTTTAGAGTTAAATATTGATCACTTAGATGCCATTAGATTGCCAAAGGAAACTGATCATTTGCATGCACAAATAAGATGAATTAAAAACTAAAAAGTTTGCATAAAATGGGTTCAATAATAAATTTTAAAACATAATTTGGCTATTTTTTTTTTCATTTGATTCTATTAATTGATCAGTGATGGATTCAAGCCTCATCTCTTACCCAAACAACCAATGTTTCCATCCAATCCAATGTAATTGAGATTGAACTCAGCTGCTTGCTTGTCTTGTTCATCTTCTTGACTCCAATCCTGCTGGGCAAAAATATCCTTCTGTCGATAGGCAGCATTAGAATCAAAGTTGATCTTTGCATCCATGCACATCACTGCAAACAAAAGGAAATTACGTCTGAAAAATGAATTAGTAATACATAGGTAATTTTAATAAATGGTTGTCAACAGTTAATAATTGCTTGCATTGTAGAGTTGTCAACTGTCAAATGATAGCCAATTAGTTTAGGCCAATCCATAAAAATTTAATGAGGGGTCCAATGACGCAAAAGCATCATGAGAACCGCATTAGCTCTCACGCAGAGGAAAGTAGTGGTAAAACAGTACCATCATTTTACTGTCAATTTAAATGTATTGTGTGCACTTGTAGTCATTACCAGCACTCATTAGTATTCAACTATATTTCCCTGAATGTTATTTGAATAGTAGAAAGTACAAACAGTGGATATACCCAGGATACTTGGCTTTTTTATCTTAAAAATGGGAGATGTGGAAATGAAAACACTGTATTAAAGGATAGGGAGACAATTGAAAAAATGGATTTAAATTAACTTGTTTTTCTAAAACATCAATATCACACAACAAAAAAGTACGCTGCAAAAAGAATAACTAAGGTTACATTTGGTGTTGTGCACATTTTGCTACAAATGTGTCCACAGTTCATCAACATAAATGATATGAATCATTAATTGTGATTTACCATCACGATTAAATCATGGAGATAGATACAAGTTGTAAATTGTTTCCCAATCTATCAAAACACATCTCCAATGGCTTCTCTAATAGATGATCATGTTAAATGTACAGAAATGATTGATGCAAGGACTTTGTCGAATTTGGTTGTAAAGGCATTGGTTCTTGGCTCATGATATTACTTTGCTGGAGGCTCTTCCATTTAAAATTGATGAAATTACCAACCATTGCGTGCAATGCAAATACAGAACGAATCAGAATAACTGTGAGCATCTAATTACATGTTTAGAAAACCTCAGCACATCAACTCCTTACATATGTTCTTTTAAGTCTCTGAAGATCCAGTCAATATGACATTGGTCCAGTTTTTCCTGGAAATTTGCACCATTATGTCACAGGAGCAGTTCCACTATGGAAAAGTGTTCCTGGAGATTTTGTAGCAACATCAGACCATTAAAACTGGGCTATTTGATAAAAAAATCTATTTTAGATCATTATAATACTCAGTACATTTCAAAAACACTGTTGTATTAGATACAAAATTGCACCTTGAAACCACAACATTCCTTAACTTCTCAGGACCTTCATAGTACTCCACTATTTCTCTCACAAAAACACTGGAGAAGAATTCAGAAAAGACCAGTTTAAAGGAACAACCAAGCCTTCTTGGCATAAACATCCAATTCGTAAATATTAGTAGGCAAATTTGAAATCAAATCAGGCCATTGTACATTACCGATCCCAGAGGCATCTTCCACCATGGGATTAATCTCAACCATACTGGCATCATATTTGATAAACAGCTCGTATAATTTGATCATATTGTCTGCTGCATCTTCTATCACATTATCGGGAAATCCCATTTTCTGTGCAAGCTGGAAAAATGATGTTAACAGTGAAATTAGTATTGAACTAATGAACATTTTAAAACAATCTTTGCCAAAAACTGGAGTAGCTGTCTGGTTCTGTGTACCCCATGTGATTTTAGTATTTTGCAGTAGGTTAAAAATTTAAGTTTAAAATGACTCAAGTTGGAGGGCAAAAAGCTCATGTTCCAAAGCAAGCAATTTAGAAAATACTGAAAAAGCAAAGGATACTTTGTGTCAATGTGAAGGGTTCTTGTGGTGCAGTGATAGTGAACCTCAGGACCAGTAGGCCCTCAAGTCCCACCTGCTCCAGCAGTGTGTAATAACATCTCCGAACAGGTTGATCAGTAACTAAATAATCCTAAATTGTTTGTTGTATTGCTTCTGGGATAACATTTGCTTCTGAACCAGAAGTTCGTGTGCTCAAATTTCATACCAGAGGACTTTGTCACAGAACCGTTTTAGTGTAGTACTGTCAGCTGACATCTTTCAGTGAAGTTAAAACGAAAGTCTTACCTATCCCCTCAGATAGATATAAAAATTTCCACAGCACTAATCTAAGAGTAGTAGGAAATGTTCTCTTAGTGACCTGATAAGCATTTATTCTTCAGTCATAAGACAAAGAAAAAGATTATCTTGTCATTTAGTGTCATTTGTGATCTTAGAAAGGGTGTGGAAAATTGGCCAAAAGAATATTTTCAAAATTGAGCTGTTTTGAAAAGAGTAGAGAAAGGCTATTAAAAGTTGGCTAGTCAGTCAATAACCAGAGGACATATATTTACAGTTATTGACAAAAACTTCACTCTCACCACCTGAAATAGAAATAGCATGTTTCTTGGTTCCAATGCAACACCATCAATGTCAAGCCCTTCACTGACCTGGTGATGCAGCTTGATGCCAACACTCATGATGAATAATTTCACAGGATCATAAAAAAGCACCCCACCCATCACCCACTCTCTCTTTCTCTGCATTCTGTAACCCACCAGTGGAGGGTTGTAATGTTCTACAGCCCTGCCAGCAAAATGTAATCTCAGATTATTTTCTGCTTAGAGATAGTAGGAACTGCCGATGCTGGAGAATCTGAGATAACAAGGTGTAGAGCTGGATGAACACAGCAGGCCAAGCAGCATCAGAGGAGCAGGAAAGCTGACGTTTTGGGTCTGGACCATTCTTC